CCCCAAAACCCCAAAACCCCAAAACCCCAAAACCCCTTTAAGATATAAAGGGATTGTAATTTTAAATAAGATATTTACAAAATGGAGACAAATGGTTTAAGTAAGTCAAAAACTTTACATTATATCCTTAGCTAAAGCCTCTAGTTGGCACACACTAATTGTAGTAGTGATAGGCAGATTGAAATGACCTTTATAGCACCCTGGAACGACTCAGATCTAGACTTCAGTAGTGAAATCCTATCGGCTGATGAAGAAGATCAGGATATGCAAATTGAATCTTTTAAGTCCACTATCAGAGAGACTCCAGATTATCACTACAAAGAAGTTCCTATTGAGTAAGCTTTTTATTGGATTTTACTAAAATCTCATGATTTTGCCAAAAAGCAAGACATTTTATAGAAACCCTTGAAAGAAAGAAATAGAATGAATCGTATTGACAGATTCAGATGATGAAGTACAAGAGGATACACAGTGAAGCACCAGGCTCAGCATCGATCCCAACAGTAATTCTAATAATCAACAACTCTAGAAGGAACAAACTTGGAATTTTTTAGTGAAAGTTCAAAAGGTGAACAAAATTATGCGCATAAGATCAGTCAGGAAATTATAAACTCAGCTTTGAACGAATCCCCTCCTAAACTAATTTGCACTAGTGAAGACACTGAAGAGGATGAGCTTGATGAATCTCTGTACAAAAACTTCTTTGGAAGCATCTTGAAGGGTCTTCGAATCACTAATCAGTCAAATAATCAGCCTGCTTCACAAAGCTTATTGATGAGAAGGTTGCATAGTGTTTTACAAGACCCAGAAAGATCAAGGATCCTAGGTAACTTAATAAATACAGAATCAGTTGAAGACATAGTTGAAGCTAAAAGTGGCTCGCAGGAAAAGGAAGAACTAAATGCCCACTTTTTCACTGGGGTCGATAAAACTTATGACCATATTTGTAAATAAGCTCCGTCCGATCATCCGAGGGGCTAAAGAGAGAGTCCTGATATGCGTGTACAGCATCACGCTGACAGGAATGCTTGACATTAAAACGCTGGAGGAGATCAAAGACAAATGCTTTATTATTACAGACCAAAGGCAAATGTATAGTAACTTCATGGAGAAATATACTAAGAAGATTCATGAGTTAGGCATCCCGATAAAATACAACTGCATTGGCAAAAATTTAATGCATTGTAAGTTTATAGTTGCAGATAATACACTGATTTTTGGGTCAATGAACATGGGAAAGAAGAGGTAAGAATATTCTCGAAGACTTCGATTCTGATTAGAGTTAGCTCTAATCTAAACACTTGAAAGCTAATATTTATTCGATCCTTCACGTTCACTCATGTAGCAAATACTAGAGGGATTTTAGGATCCCCTTATTAGAGTATTTCTGTGTCTTTCATAGTGATTTTTATACTAGGATCTTAGTTAATAAGTTCCAAAATATTTATAGTGCAATTTCATAATTTTTACTAATCTTCAAAATATGTCAATTTTACCAGAGCAGTAGTTTGCCTAAGAAATTAGAGGACTCTCAGAATATTAAAAACTTTGAGAATTAGAGCATAATGATATTCAAAAATCTTCTTAAACTCCTAACTTTTGCGAAGAGAGCTTCTTTTCTAGGTGTCAACAGGTGCTTAATTTTAGTAAAAATTTATGTATCAAAGTCATTATTAACTCTAACCATTGCATAGCTTGATGAACTATGAGCATATATCAGTTACAAGTAACAAGAAAGCTATCAGGAAGTTTAGTAACAGGTTTGACAGACTTTGGCACTCATCTGACTTCATTGCCTACAAGCCTACAGATCAAGAGGATGATGACAGTGACTTGGAGATGGATCTGGCTTGAGAAGAGGAATTGTAGCTCACCAAGTTAATAATTAATCAATATGGAGATCTAGCTGCGGGGTTTTGGGGTTTTGGGGTTTTGGGG